AAAATTTAATTAATTAATTAATTAATTGGATCCGGATGACCACCAAAATGTAATCAATTCTAAGTTACCCCATTTCTGACCTATCCTGAAAATTTAATTAATTAATTGGATCCGGATCCTCACCAAAATGTAATCAATTCTAAGTTACCCCATTTCTGACCTATCCTCAAAAACTTTATTAATTAATTAATTAATTGGATCCGGATCGCCACCAAAATCTAATCAGTTCTAAGTTAGCCCATTTCTGACCTATCCTGAAAATGTTATGACAATCCGTCCATAACTTTTTTAGTTAGGCTGTACACAAACAAATAAACGCACAAACCCACAAACCAACAAACGCCGGTGAAAACATAACCTCCTGCCAACCCCTTGGCGGAGGTAATTATATAAATTATGAATGTTAATACAATATTAAATGTTATATTAGTTAATAAATTTTAATTTGCATAAAATTTATTAATTTAAATAAGCAATATTATCGGTCGACGCCGACGACGGGCTGGGAGTTCACTTACCTGTGCAGTGCATGCGGTCACTGGACAGCTTGAGGGGCGGCGGGCAGAGACAGGAGTAGCCGTCAGGGCGGGGACGACACTCATGGCTGCACGGCAGCGCCTCACACTGGTTCTCCACTGCAAACACAAGAGCAGCCGGTTCTTACACGCACCTATTTTATTATTCTGTATTGAGTACTTATGCGTCTATCTTATGTTGCGTCTTATGTTACCCTTATAGCTAGCAGTTCTTACAGGTGATTTTGTTGGACCGCAAGGCTATATTAATAATATTTATTATTATTATTATATTATCATATGATGATGATGATGATGATGATGATGATGATGATGATGATGATAATGATACAAATAATAATAATGATAAAAAATAATAATAATAATACCAACAACAACAACAACAACAACAACAACAACAACAACAACAACAACAACAACAACAACAATGTTTGGCATCTTACCACACAGCTCCCCCTCATCAGATCCGTCCTCACAGTCCGGCCTGTAATCACAGAGCTGCGTCGCGGCGACGCACTTACTGCCGCCGTCACACTGGTGACCCGGCCACGGACAGAAGTCGTCCGGCAGATCTGCAAACACACAAGCATTACATCATATATACATTATATCATGTATATATTATACCACATTATACCACATTATTCTTCACATTATATATTAGCGTTTGTGTAATACTCCCTGTTATCTATATCATATCAGATGAGATCATATCATGCATATATTACACAACATTATTATACAATTATTTATTTATTTATATTTATATCATTCATGTTATTGTTCATGAAATGTTTATTTATACATATCTGTCATATTATAATATGCATGTATTAAACTGTGTTATTATTCACATTATATAATATCATTCATGTTAATACTCGGTTTATGTTGATTTATTTACATCACATTATATATTACCAAGAGCTAATAATACCTAGAGTGTACAACGGGAAAACGGGAAAATAGTGCTATATCACGACAACATTATTCTACTTTGCCTGCAAATCTAGAATAATTTTATGGTATTGTATTAAGCAGAATTCTTTGCTCTCTAAAACAAGACCAACCGCTTGTCAATACGATACTCCTAGGCTGAGATATTGGCTCCTAAACCTCCCCTCCCACATGCCTTACGCCGCCTCGCATCCAGCTTATTCAGCAACCTAAACGCCTCTAAGCATTTTGGCTATCGTTTTCCGTCGCCGCTTGGAGCGCTGATAATTGATGTCACATGCCCAAATTTGGTACTCTTACTAGCTGCGTTGTAGAGACTTAATTAAAAAAACATTGCCGGCTCCATCATGACGAGCATTAGCCGTGCTAGGAAAGATAATGGGAGATAAGGGCATAGGCGATGCCCCCGAAACAAAATGAGCTCGACCCCGCGCGTGTTGATGCGTTGCCGTGGATACGCACCGCAGCTGAGCTCATCCGTCTTGTCCTCGCAGTCGACGACCTTGTCGCATCGCCACGACAACGGGATGCACTTGGTGCGGTTGTCGCAGCTCATCTCCATCTGCGGCACACACGTGCGCGTCGTCTCACCTGCAGCCAGACAGCATGATCACCGTCAGACAGTCGCCACGGCAACCAAGTGTTCGCCCCGAGTTACGCAGTATTGTCGAACTGAGTAATGTACTGAAGTCGTTTCGTAAACACATATAGCATTAATCCTGGACTGAACAACGTGAGATACTTGCCACGACCATCTAGTATTGTCCACTATTATCAACTTAGTATAAGTTATGGAGTATCACTTGCAGCGTGAGACAGCCATCACCATCAGACACTGAACTTAATAACGTGAGATACTTGCCACAACAATCTAGTATTGTTCAAGTTAAGTAAGTACCATAAGTAAATTAAGTAAGTACAGCACACACTCGATGCGACAACCTAGTGGGTTGCCTTCGTTGGTTAGTCAAGTTGTTTGATGTGAAACATTAGACACACAACTAGTTGGCCGAGTTACCGAGTAGACTACAGATGTTGTTTGTTGTTTCGTAAACACATATATACACGCGAGCGCCCCTGCAGAGATGCCAACACATATTTGAAGCAATCTGTAGTTTCTGGCCATCAAATTAGTAGTTCGAGGGTCACGTAGGGGGGTCCAGCATGCCCCCCGGTAAAATTTTTGGTTCTGAGATACAATTTCCTGCATTCT